AGAGAGGAAAGAGGAAAAGAGGGAGAGAAAGGAGAGGAAAGAGAAAGGAAAGAGAGAAAGAAAGCGAGGGGGAGAGGAAAGAGAAAAAGAGGAAAGAAAAAAGATTGAGAAAAGAGAGAGAGGAAAGAAAGAGAAAAGAGAAGAGAAAGAGGAAAGAGAAATAAAGGAAAGAGAGGAAAGAGAGAAAGGAAAGAGAAAGAGAGAAAGAGGAAAGAAAGGAGAAAGAGAGGAAAGAGAAAGAGAGAAAGAGGAAAGAGAAAGAGAGAGAGGAAAGAGAAAGAGGGGGAGAGGAAAGAGAAAGAGAGAGAGAGAAAGAGGAAAGAGGGAGAGGAAAGAGGCATAAAATAATTCATTTGCATTTAATTGTAATGGTTCAAAGAATGTTCGGAAAAATGTTCGGCCCTCCAGCACGTTCACTTCATCCAATCTGGCCCTCTTTGAAAAAAGTTTGGACACCCCTGATCTATACTTATCTACACTATTTCATTACCTAAAAATAGCTCAAGAGCAGAACAAAAATACCAGCAAAATCCACAGTTCTCTTCCATTTAAAATTTATGTTGATATTTGAGTAATAATAGTAAAAAAGTCACAGTGGAAATATACACTGAACTGCGAGTGCAATAAGGCAGAACTTATTTATTTCTTTACAATTCAAAAAAATATATTACAATCAAAATACTAAAAACATTTTAAACCAATAAAAATAACAGAAACCATTAAATATATTAAAATGTAGTACCATTAATAATAAAAACTTAGCACTATTGACTTGCAGGCAAAGGTTCCTGCCAAGCTTCTTAAGCACACCCACATTAACCAGGCCCCTTGAGCCATGACCTTCTTCCTGCTAGGCCCCTACTGTGATCCCAGACAGACTCCTTACCAACAAGACCCATTTGTTCTCTTTTATTGAAGGGAAGCAGCTGGAAATAACTTTTCTTTTTCATATCGCTCCTTCTCCCTTTTCAGGGAAGGTTGAAATTATTCCAGTTTATGATGGCAACGATAGCTAAATCATGATTTTCAAATTAGTTTTATTGGAAGTAAAAGGCAGTATGCTTCAGTATTACAAAGGAACCTCATAAATTGAAAAATAAGTCTGATAGACAATTCAATTCATTTGGAAACCAAATTTGGAATTATAGATTATAGACTCTGCGTATAGACTCTTACTGCATCTGAAATGTTTTTCTTAAAATAAGTCTTTTAAAGTATTAGATACTACTTGATTCGTCAATACTAGATCTTTTTTAGATTACATAGAAGCTCTTATTAATTGTTCATTTTGCTACATTATTCTTTTGATAGATGATCTGGCTGTATTCATTAAGTATTGAATACTGGCTTTCTTTTAACAATGGTTTTGAAATGTTAAATTGATATAACATCACTTTTATATGCAGCTTTAAAAACTTAAAAGCTTTAAAATATCCCACTTCTATAGAGCTTGATAACCTTTGGTTTTTAGTTTTTGCTCTTTCTCATTATTATGTTTTTAAAATCTATTTTAAAAAGAGGCAGCCTCACATCTTTAAACATTACTTAATGTCTGTATGTGGAAGGATTGTACATATGTTTAAGAGGAAAATGTTGACCATCTATGTTGCACAGGTGTCCATCTGACTGGTGCAAGATGCATATTGCAGTGTTGAAGAAAGACTGTTTAGGTGGGTAAGATTGTAAAAGGATATAAGATTACATGTAAATATATATGGGAGGTTCTGTGTGCATGATTTTATGTTTTACATCTCTCTCCTAAGATGTACATAATAGCTTTTGTACCATAGTAAACTGTGGGACATTGAGTGCAAGGCAGTGGTGGGATTCAAATATGTGAACAACCAGTTCTCTGTGTGGATGCTGCTTCCGGAAGTCCGTTCTGGGCCTGGGCAGCAAAAAATTAGTACCGGTTCTGTCGAACTAGTGCGAACTGGCTGAATCCCAGGGTCAGTTATTAGCCAATTTTTTAAGCTCTTAATTTTGAACAGTAATTAAACAAATGTTAGTCAAAGATTACCCATAAGGAAGGTATTTATATGAAAATGGCAACAAATGTGAACATTTAAAGTAATTTACATCATCTTATCAACAGTGCCTAGCTTCTGATACACCATTTATCTTTATCATATTAGTAAACTTATTAATCACAATTAATTTCAGTGTGAATTACACTTAAAATGAAATTATTAATTCTAACATTCAAATTCATGTGTATTTCATCACTTTAATTAAAAACACCGTTTAAAATAAACATACACATTAAAGACAGTAAGAAGTCGTTGAATGATCTAGAATACTTACATTTGAAGACATTTTTCTTTTTCCAACAACCCTTATTTCCTTAATTAGGGATATGGATCATGAGTTC